GACCTCATCTTTACAAAAAAATTAAAAATTAGCCAGGTGTGGTGATGGTCTCGCTATGTTGCCCAGGCTGTTTTCAAACTCCTGAGCTCAAGCTGCCCTCCCACCTCGGCCTCCCAAAGTGCTAGTGTTGAACATTAATGTGATAACGCTGGTTCTTGCATTCTTGGTTTAAAAGAATTTAAACAAGAGACACACAGCAAAACAAATGCAGCATAGAGTAATTTCTTGCAAAACAAAAATAATATTTTGAAAGTTAGATGCAGAATAGACAGTATACCCTGAGAGACGGGGAATTCAGGGCAGGCTGCTTGGAACAATGAGACAGCAAAGACTGGCATGAGGAAGACTCCCTTTACAGGAGTCTTACACGGTTATTCATAAGGAGGTGGAGGTGTCACCAGTAAGCAAGCTCTGTGTGGTCCTCTCAGTGCACACGTGCAGCAGCTGTGAATGTTTGTTTATATGTTGCATGTCTCGTTAGATCTTAAATCTCCACCCAGGGACGTGTTTTTACTATTAAAATGAGGAAAAAGGCCAGGTATGGTGGCTCATGCCTGTAATCCCAGCACTTTGGGAGGCCGAGACAGAACTTCTCTCTACCAATGTTTATTTATTAATAACATTGTACTGACGTAGGATGAGCAAGCCCCAAAGTGAGGGCTCTGAACTCAGCAGTTTGAGACCAGCCTGGCCAATATGGTGAAACCTTGTTGCTTTCTTTTTTGAGATGGAATTTCACTCATTACCCAGGCTGGAGTGCAATGGCACGATCTCAGCTCACCGCAACCTCGCCTCATGGGTTCAGGCAATTCTCCTGCCTCAGCCTCCTCAGTAGCTGGGATTACAGGCACGCACCACCATGCCCAGCTAATTTTTTGTATTTTTAGTAGAGACGGGGTTTCACCATGTTGACCACGATGGTCTTGATCTCTTGACCTTGTGATCCACCCGCCTCGGCCTCCCAAAGTGCTGGGATTACAGGCGTGAGCTACCGCACCAGCCCTTGTTTCTATTAAAAATACAAAAATTAGCCAGGTGTGGTGGCAGGCGCCTGTAATCCCAGCTAATTGGTAGGTTGAGGCAGGAGGATTGCTTGAACTCGAGAGGTGAAGGTTGCTGTGAGCTGAGATTGCACCATTGCACTCCAGCCTGGGCAACAGAGTGAGACCAACTTAAAAAAAAAAAAAAATGAGGAAAAGGCCAATTTGAGGACAGGTAAAACTAGAATGCACATGCTGTGGAGAAAGGAAAGTCCCTACTGAAAATAGCTTTGCTTGAATGACCTTGATACAAGGTGAATGCTGAGGTTTATTGCGTTGACTGGATGGTCACCACAGTTGCTGTGTTTCAAGAACAAGGTGCCTTTCGTGGTAGGAGGCTGCTCTTGTCAGGTATGGAGCTAGGTGCGGATGCAATGTGGCTCTCAATAGCACCTTACGGATAGTTGTGTCCCAAAAGAAGGATGAGAATAGTTGCTGAAGTCCTAAAGAGCAAGCCTAACTCAAGCTGTTGGCACACAGGCATTACACAGAAAGCTGGAAGTTGAAATGGTGGAGTCCAACTTGCCTGGACCAGCTTTACGGGTTCTGCTGGTAACGTTTTTATCCATGGATGGTTTGCTTGGGTGCAGATGTAGGAGACCTTTTAAAGGTGTGGAGAGTCGGTTTGACTACACCATGTGGGGCAAGTTTTAAAGAAGCAAAGGACTCGGAATTCATGCTTGAAGAAATGCAGGCAGACCTGCTAACCTAAAAACTAGTTTTTAATGACCACAGCAGGCAAGCATGCCGTTTGGCCCTTGAAAGCGTCTTTCCTCACCCAGGCTGTAGTGTGGTGTCTCTTTGAGGCTCACCACAGCCTCAAACTCCTGGGCTCAAATGATCCTCAGCCTCCCAGTGGACTTTGTAGACAGCCTGATATGGAGTCTCAAGATTAAAAAATGTCTCCAATTTCAATAATGGCTGCAATCCATCTGGCGTATGGAGTGATTACTTCAAAAAGGACAGTTCTTTTCATCTGTTAATCTTTAGTTGTAAGTATAAATCTCATTCAAAGGCTATTATAACTGCAGGGTATTTGCTTTATTAACAGCATAGCCAATTAAAATTTTATGGGTGGAAAAAAAAAAGAACATGGTTACTTCCTTGACTCCCTATCCTGCCTCACTAGGATGACAGGTGTGAGACGCCATGCCTGGCCAATGGCATTAATTACATTCACATTGTGTGTAACCATCACCATTATCTGTTTCCAAAATGTTTTCATAATTTCAAACAAATTCTGTAACCATTAAGCAATAACTCCCCACATCCCCTTCCCCAACTGTCAATAACTTTCAGTCTACTTCCTTTCTCTGTGGACTTGCCTACTCTAGACATTTCATGTAAGTAGAATAATAGATTCTTTGTTCTTTTGTGTCTGGCTTCTTTCACTTAGCATAATGTCTCAGGGCTCATCCATATTGTAGCAAATGTCAGGGCTTCATTCCTTTTTACAGATGAATAATATTCCATCGAAGGATCTATCACATTTTGTTTATCTATTCATCTGTTCATGGATACTTGGGTTGTTTTCACGTTTTTGCCTTTGTGACTAATGTTGTACAATAATTGTTGTACAAATATCTGTTGGAGTCCGTGTTTTCAATGCTCTGAGTACAAACCTAGGAATTTAATTGCTGGATTTTACGGTAGTTCTGTTTAGCTTCTGGGGGAACTACCCAGCTGTTTTCCCCAGCAGCCGCATCTTTTACATTCTCACCAGCAATGTAGAGTTCTAGTTTCTCTACGTCCTTGCCAACACTTGTCACTTTTGTTTAATTATTGCCAAATATATGGAGGAAGAGGGGGACTTCTATCCTCCTCCATTTAGTTCTGGTGATAATATCCATCAGTGGATTCCCACATGGATGGATTGAGTTGATGATCCAGAATGATGAGAGTACCCCATTCTCCCATGCAGAATGGTTGGTTCAGCTTTGGACACACGACCCAGGAGGGGATGATTACAACCTTACCTGGAGTTGAGGTAGGAGGCAGGGTGTTTTTACTATTTTTGGTCCAATGCTTGGAAATTGGACCAAACTGTGGACTAGCTAAAAGAGATGGGATGGAAGCAGCTTTCCGTAAGGCACACCCACCAATGTGCCATGTTAGTTTACCATTGCCAAGGCAACAGCCAGGAGTTACCGCCCCTTTCCAATGCAATGACCCAATGACCCAAAAGTCACTAACCTTTACCTAAAAATTTCTGCATAAACTGCCCCTTACTCTATATGTACTTAAAACGGGTATAAATATGGCTGCAAAACTGCCCCGAGCTGCTACTGCCAGCACACTGCCTATGGGAGTCAACCCTTTATCCTCCCACTCAGCTCAGACAGATACAGCAGCTGCTGTGATGTTCACAGTGGTGACTCCCATGCTGAACCCTTTTATCTACAGCCCGGGGAACAAGGACATGAAAGGGGCTCTTGGAAAAGTGGCTGGCAGGAAGACATGCCGTTACTGATGAATGTTCCATGGACCTATCTGTCATTTCCAGGCATAGCAATCTTTGCCAACTCATTGAAATGCGGCAATTATCTGTCAAAGTGTCTCCAAGGAACTCGGAATAAATATACCTGGTAGATACTTATCAATGAACTCTGATTTAACTACAACCCTGCTGAAAGTATATACAGCACATCCTCCAACAACACTGCTTCGTTCAATGACTTTTTTCTTTTTTTAAATTTCAATAATTTTTAGGAAGCAAGCAGTTTTGTTACATGGATACGTTCTTCAGCGGTGATTTCTGAGACTTTGGTGCACCTGTCAGCATGCTAAATGAAATACATCTGTTTGAGACAGCCAGTTCTTTCCAGCCCTCTCCTGGAAAGAAAAATCTGCCTCCGCCTTACCTTCATTCTTTAAAACCTTTTTTTCATCATATGATTTAATACTTCTTTGTTACATAATTTTTTTTTTTTTTTAAAGATGGGGTTTCACCATGATGGCAAGGCTGGTCTTGAACTCCTGATCTCAGGTGATCCACCTGCCTCGGCCTCCCAAAGTGCTGGGATTACAGGTATGAGCACAACCTACACTTAAAAAAACAAAAAGCTATTCAGAAGGCTGAGGCAGGAGGATCACTTGAGCCTAGGAGGCAGAGATTTCAGTGAGCCAAGATCCTCCAACTCCAGCCTTGGTGACAAGAGCCAGTATCAGTTAAAAAAACAAAACAAAAAGTACCTCGGTGACTGTGCCATGGCTGCATGAGGACTGATAAAACACCCGACTCTTGGGCAGGGATGCCAAAGAATGAGTGGAAGCTCTCTTTACTCACTGCCTTGCAGCTACTGGTTTTCTGGGTACACAAGGGGTCCCCTTCACATGGTAACAGCTTGGTAACTCCAGAAACACAGCTCAGGATCCCAGTCCTAGTGCATTGGCCATTCTTTCAAATAAGTGAATAATGTTGTGGGCAGCCAGTTTTGTTAGGTTTGCTGGCTTTACAGGGTATTTACTGTTGGCATGAAATATAAAACCAGTAAAGAACAGTTTTTGTGGCCTTCCACTGTCATGGAGGGTGGTGGTGTTTTTTGAGATGGAGTTTCACTCTTGTTGCCCAGGCTGGAGGGCAATGGCGCGATCTCAGCTCACTGCAACCTCCCCCTCCCAGGTTCAAGCAATTCTGCCTCAGCCTCCCAAATAGCTGGGATTACAGGTGCCCACCACCACACCCAGCTAATTTTTTTATTTTTTTTAGTAGAGACAGGGTTTTGCCATGTTGGTCAGGCTGGTCTCCAACTCCTGACTTCAGGTGTTCCACCTACCTCAGCCTCCCAAAGTGCTGAGATTACAGGCATTAGCCACTGTGCCTGGCCTGTTGCTTTTAAATTATGATTCAGGACTGAACTGTATCATAAAATGTCCTTCAGAATGCTTTGTATCAAAACAACAAACCTCAGAATTACATGTCAATAACAAACAAAACAAAAAAAATCCGATAGGCAGAAGGCAAGAAACAAAACTATTATTTGTAAATGGTGTCATTTTACCAAAAGTTATAACAGAGCTAAACCAAGAAACTATTGAAAATTAAGAACAGTGAGGTGACTAGCTATACAAATATATAATTGAAAATAACTTTCTTATGTAACAACAATAATCAACTATAGAAATATAATGAAAAAACTACTTACAGTAACAAAATTTTGTAAAACCTTAAGTGAAGAAAATTAGGAAAATTTTCACAGGAATATAACACTCTCATAAATACAAAGGCATGTTTCTGGATGGAAACAAACACTGTAATTTTTCCCAAATAGTTTATAGGATTTCTTCATTCCAATCAAAACACCAATGTGAAACTTTTGGAAACCTCAAGTAAGCAAAACTGGTCAAGAATCCCTAGATTGCACCACTGGCCTTGCTTCTAGGCAGAAAGGACAGGAAGGTCTGGATATGAAGAGACTGAAGACAATGAATACCCACTATAATGAAGACACCTGGAATCCTGTCTCTTGAGGGGCAATGTGAGCTAACCACTAGAGATGTAATTTCTAAATATACAACACTATGGGTCAGGTGCAGTGGCCCACACCTGTAATCCCAGCACTTTGGGAGGCTGAGGTGGATCACCTGAGGTTGGGAGTTTGAGACCCGCCTCACCAACATGAAGAAACCCTGTTTCTACTAAAAAACACAAAATTAGCTGGGCGTGGTGGCACATGCCTGTAATCCCAGCTACTTGAAAGGCTGAAGCCTATCGCTCGAATCCGGGAGGCGGAGGCTGCAGTGAGTCGAAATCAGGCCACTGCACTCCAGCCTGGGCAACAACAGTGAAACTCCATCTCTCTTTTTTTGCCCATCACCTACAACAATCATCTTAGAACATGAAACTCCATCTCAAAAAAATATATATATACATACACACACACACACACACACTCTTTGCCTTGTGAGGTAGTGACCACCCCATCACCAAAGGTCTGATGATGGTGTAGAGGGGACCTAAGAATATGGTAAGGTTATTGATGAGACATGGATCTAAGCCAGCTTTTCCTGCCTCCAGGTCGACCCCTCCTGTATGGGTCTTGGGGTTTCCTTCCTAGCACATGAGATCTGGGCTCCAGAGAGGAAGAAGATTCTGAAGAGCTTTTCTAGTGGTGGGACTGGATGGCCCTGCCTGAGTAATCCAAACTTATTTTGGCAAGGGAGAGGCATGAAACAGCTGTTGGAAAGATCAACAGGTGAACAAAATAGAGTAAAAACAGTAGACACTTTTGTTGTAAAAAGGAATCTGTAAAAGTCAATGTTATCACAAATTGCAAATGTTATTGAAATTGCAAGTTTAGATCACATCCAACTGAGAGTCTGACATTCAATTGCTATAGTTTTCCTATATTCCAAAGTAAACAATTCAACACTCAAGACTGCTCTTAGAGGGTTATATGAATTGCCAATAGAAGCTGTTGGCTCAACAAGCCAGTAGTTTGGTTCTTTCGAGAACACAGTTCCAGATAAGAACCTTTGCACTATTTCTCAAGTACGAATCTCCATGTGGGGGGAAAATGGATATACTTACAATAGACATGTGTCACTCTCTCTTGCAAGTAAGCAGCCTCCAGAGTCATCTTCAAAGTCTTTCTTGGGAAAGGGATCTGTGACCTGTACATTGCCATATAACTTCATAAAGGAAAGCTCCTTAGTCCAGAAAGCGCGGATGCTGAGGTATAGCCCTTGAAAATGTTTTCTTCCCTGTGAATTTACTAACAATTTGAGGTTTTAGCCAAGACGGGCATTTATCCAATTTTGGCTACAATGAGCTTTTCACATATTGTTATTTTTTTTCTTTGAGATGGAGTCTCACTGGGTCACCCAGGCTGGAGTGCAGTGGCGTGATTTTGACTCACTGCAACCTCTGCCTCCTCGATTCAAGCAATGATCCTGCCTCAGCCTCCTGAGTAGCTAGGATTAGAGGTGCATGCCACCACGCCCAGCTAATTTTTGTATTTTTAGTAGAGACATGGTTTCAACTTGTTGGTCAGGCTGGTCTCAAATTCCTAACCTTGTAATTCACCCATCTCGGCCTCCCAAAGTGCTGGGATTACAGGTGTGAGCCACAGAGCCCAGCCTACATATTTATATCTTTTTAGGCAGCTTGGGAACTCCGAAAGCTCTCAGGTTGGCAGGGCACAGTGGCTCCAGCCTGTAATTCCAGCACTTTGGGAGGCTGAGGCAGGTGGATCACGAGGTCAAGAGATCGAGACCATCCTGGTCAACATGATGAAACCCCATCTCTACTAAAAACACAAAAAATTAGCTGGGCATGGTGGCGCGTGCCTGTAATCCCAGCTACTCAGGAGGCTGAGGCAGGAGAATTGCCTGAACCCAGGAGGCGGAGGTTGCGGTGAGCCGAGATTGCACCACTGCACTCCAGCCTGGGTAATAAGAGTGAAAGTCCATCTCAAAAAAAAAAAAAAGAAAAACTCTCAGGTTGAGGAAGCACCATCAAACCTTTCCCAATACTACTTCTCCTTTCGAGTCTTACAGGCTGAGTGGATTTTCTCATGCCGGGTACAGTTTGACAGCCGACCAAATCTTCTCCCACATTTTTTGCAACCATATGGTCTCTCAGCCTCATGGGTCTGCAGATGAAGCACAAATTCCTCATTCTTTGGGAAGGTTTTCCCACATTCTGGACACTTAAATATCTTCTCCCTTATATGGATTCCTTCGTGACGACTCCGATGAGAATTCTGACGAAAATTTTTCCCACAATGAGAACAGGAATAAGGTTTCTCTCCTGTATGAATCCGTTCATGTTTATTGAGATTTGTTTTATGATTGAAGCTTTTCCCACAGTGACTACAGTCATAGGGTTTTTCTCCAGTGTGAGTCCTCTGATGGGAAATAAGGTAAGAACTTTCATTAAACTGTTTCCCACACAGTGGACAAGTATACCATCTCCTTGTCCTCCGATTTCGAGTAAGTGCAATAATATTGACATCTACATATTTTGAGAGTTCCTCTAGGGAAGTATCATTCTCAATGGTAACTAACAGATTTCTCATTTTCCTTTTCTGTTGAATGAATGTATTTAGTCTTTCCTTTTCCTGGTTATCTAGAGGGTGCTGAGAGACCAATGAAGAATCCATTTCATCATCATCTGAAGACTTTTCTCTATAATCTTCATTTTCTATAGATTCCTTCTCAGAATCTTCACCTTCAGGATTACTGCCATTGACTGTTGAAACAAAGAGAAAATTGAATAACTTCTGAGGGATATGACAATACCAGGCATGAAAAAACAAATCAGGTTTTTTATGACAGAGCCATCTTGAAAGTCAGTTGGAGGAGTGGTGGATACTGCTGTCATACTCCTTTTCCACACTTATTTCCATCTACCACAATGCAAGCACACATTAAATAAGTAAAATGAGTGTGATTTCACTTAAAGACTTCATATGTTTGTTCTCTTCACAGGTGCTAATTACCTGACAAGTTCATATTCATCTTACACTCTGTAGAGCACTCAGCTAAGGACTAGGGATGAAGACCATAAATCTATAAAGGGCACCACTCGTCATCTTGAAGAGTCTGGTAACTGAAGGTTAAGATGAACTACTTGTAGGTTTTGACTATATTAGAAATTATAGTATCACACACTGGGGTCTGTTAGGGGGTTGGGGGCTAGGGAAGGGACAGCAGCGGGTGGAGACACTGAGGATGGATAACATTAGGATAAATACCTAATGTAGGTGATAGGAGGATGGAGGCAGCAAGCCACCATGTCATGTGTATACCTATGTAACAATCCTGCAAGATCTGCACATGTACTCCAGAACTTAAAGTATAATAAAATTTTTAAAAAGGCCAGACACAGAGGCACATGCCTATAGTCCCAGCTACTTGGGAGGCTGAGGTGGGAGGATCGCCTGAGCCCAGGAGTTCTGGACTGTAGTGCGCTATGCTGATCAGGTGTCCGCACTAATTTCGGCATCAGTATGGTGACCTTACAGAAGCAGGGGACCACCAGGTTGCCTAAGGAGGGGAGAACCAACCTAGGTTGGAAACGGAGCAGGTAGAAACTCCTGTGCCGATGAGTAGTGGGATCATGCCTGTGAAGAGCCACTGCACCCCAGTCTGGGGCAACATAGCAAGACCCTATCTCTAAAAAAAGAAAGAAAGAAAAACACTAAAAAAAAGATTAAAAAAGAAATTATCACAATATTATAGCACTAAATAATATTATAATGTCTTACAATGAGAAAATGGGAACAATTCAAATAACTAAAATTAAAGAGGACACAGCACATTAATACAAAAGTTTATTACTGGCCAGGCATGGTAGCTCACACCTATAATCCAGCATTTTGGGAGGTTGAGGCAGGCAGATCACCTGAGGCTGGGAGTTCAAAAGCAGTTTGACCAACATTGAGAAATCCTGTCTCTACTAAAAAATACAAAATTAGCCTGGAGTGGTGGCAAATGCCTGTAATCCCAGCTACTCAGGAGGCTGAGACAGGAAAACCACCTGAAGCTGGGAGGCAGAGACTGCAGTGAGCCAAGATTGCACCACTGCACTCCAGCCTGGGTGACAAGAATGAAACTCTGTTAAGAGATTACTAAGAACTAATAAAATGAAGCTTTGGGATTACAAGCCAGTAGTGTTTCTCTTTGGGTAGAAAGGGAAGGCACAGGGCACAAGAGGAATTTCTGGGATGCTAAGAAAAGTCCATTTTTAATGGTGATTAGATGGTGTACATTTTGTAAAAAGTTCAGCTATATATTTATTATTTATGATTGGTAGGCTTTTTCTATTATACTTCAGAAAAGTCAGTGTAAACAAATTATAAAGACTAGGTAACAAAGTGAAATACAAACATGCTGTGAACATACTTGTGTGACAAGGGACCCCTCAATTCTGGACTACTGAGAGTAAAGTGTTCCAATCAACCACCAAGACACAGGGCTGATCCTAAAACTGGAGTAGGAATTTAAATGGGATTTAGCAGTTTCACACCAATAGATTTTTAAGAAATTTTTATTTTACTTTTTTTCTTTCAGAGATAGGGTCTTGTTACGTTGCTCAGGCTTGTTTTGAATCTGTGTACTCATGCAATCTTCCCAAAGTGCGGGGGATTACAGGTTTAAACCACCACATCCAGCCTTAATTACTCTTTTTAACCACTCCCTTCAGATAATGAAAATGCTAGGTCAAAGGATATGCCAATTTTTACCATAGCTTTTGACATGAACTACCATTCTGCTTTCCAAAGCAGCTCTACTAATTTGAATTCAACCATCTTCATGTAAGTGTCCACTTCATCTAATCATGTCAGCATATTTTTTCTATTTTTTTTTGTTTTTACGTTTCAGTATTAAAAGTTAAAATATTTAATAGGTAATAAAAAGAAAAAACAAAATAAAAAAATATTTAATAAGTATAAAATGGTTTCTCATTGTAGTTTTACTTTGCATTTTGATTATGCAAAATACTCTATTGGGTTACGACTATAATAAATGTAAACCTTTGTCAATAATTTCTTGTTTGAATAATTAACTGAAGTCTTCCTCTCTAACTACAAACTTAAAACCAGGAAAAAAAAATAATTCTCACAAGATCTGACAAAGTTCTGCTCTCTTTTCTGACCACTCTTCTATGATTTATTTTAATAGTTAACTACAATATATTTGGAGTTTAACTCTGTAACACAGACGGAAATAAAATTTCTTCTAAATTATGATGTACTTATCCCACTCTATTTATAACAATTTCACTTTTGTCCTATTTTGAAATGTTCACATTATCTTTATACACAGTTGAGCTATATGGCACTTTCAAGAAAAGGAGACATCTTGAGTTTCAGTAAATTCCCCTGAAAACAGGTATTTAGTTCCTTAAAATTAATATAATTTTATATTTATAATCATATAAAATATTTGTGGGAATTCTTCATGTTAGTAGGTTTGACAATGACCAACTTTTCCTGATAGATCAACCTCAGTTTTTGTTTCCTTTCTTTTAGAGACAGGGTCTTCCTGTGACCCAGGCTGGAGTGTAGTGGTGCCATCACTTATTGTTTTGGTGACATCATTTAGGATTTACTGTCTCAGCAATTTTCAAGCAAAGATTGAATTTGCTTTTCTTATTATTTTTTTTTTTTTTTTGAAACAGGATCTTACTGTCACCCAGTCTGGAGTGCAGTGGTGTAATCTCAGCTCACTGTAACCTCTGCCTCCTGGGTTCAAGTGATCCTTGCATCACAGCCTCCCATGTAGCTGGGACCACATACACACACTACCATGCTTGGCTTATTTTTTCATTTTTTATAGAAATAGGGTCTCCCAGGCTGGTCTCCAACTCCTGGACTCAAACAATCCCTCCACCTTGGCCTCCCAAAGTGCTAGGATTACAGGTGTGAACCACTGCACCCATCCAAAGAATGAATTCTTAGTATCAGTAGCTATTACAATGACCCATTACTTTCTGATAGATCAACCCGTTTTTTTTGTCTTCTTTGTGAGACAAGGTCTTTTTCTGCTGTGCAGGCTAGAGTGCAGTGGTGCCATCACAGCTCACTACAATGTCTACCTCCTGGGTTCAAGCAATTCTCCTATCTCAGCCTTCTGAGTAACTGGGATTGGAGGCATGCGCCACTGCGCCCGGCTAGCTTTTGTACTTTTATTTTAGTACAGATGGTGTTTTGCTGTATTGGCCAGCCTGGTCTCAAACTCCTGATCTCAAGTGATCTGCCTGCCTTGACCTCCCAAAGTGCTGGCATTACGGGCATGAGCCACTCAGATTTCAACATGGGATTTGGGAGGGACAAATATCCAAACTATATCAACAACCTTGGGTCAGAGGGGTAAAGTCAAATTAAAATTGCATATTTCTTTCCTAGAAAACACTATACAGTCCTCCATATTCATGGGTTCCATATCTGAGGATTCAACCAAGGATCGAAAATATTTGAGAGAAAACAAAAAGGATGGTTGTGTCTGTACATATTTTTTTGTCATTCCCTAAATAATGTAGTATAACAAATATTTATGTAGCATTTACTTTGTATTGGGTATTATAAGTAATCTAGAAATAATATATATGGTGGGATATGTGTGGATTATATGTAAATGCTACACCATTTTATATAATAAATTTGAGCATCCATGGATTTTGGTACCTGAGCAGGGGTCCTGGAACTAATCCCCCATGAATACAAAGGACAACTGTATATCAGAATCTATGGTATAATCTAAAGTGATGCTCTTAAGACAGTTCACGGCTGTAAAAACATGTATTAATTCAGAAAAATGAGAATAAAGCCTCTGATTCAAAGTTAGAAAAACGATATGATAAATTTAAAAGTATGAAGGTATTGGCCAGGCGCAGTGCCTCACGCCTGCAATCCCAGCACTTTGGGAGGCCGAGGTGGGTGGATCACCTGAGGTCAGGAGTTCGAGATTAGCCTGGCCAAGAAAGCAAAACTCCATCTCTACTAAAAATTAAAAAAAAAAAAAAAAGTATAAATACAAATTACAAAGTATTAAAATACAAATTAGAAAGTATTGAAATTAGAAAGTAATGAAATAAAAATAGAAAAAAAAAAACAGTAAGATTTAAACAAAAATAAACCGATTTCTGGCTGGGCATGGTGGCTCAAGCCTGTAATCCCAACACTTTGGGAGGCCGAGGTGGGCAGATCACGAGGTCAAGAGATCGAGACCATCCTGGCCAACATGGTGAAACCCTGTCTTACTAAAAATACAAAAATTAGCTGGGCTTGGTGGTGTGCGCCTGTGGTCCCAGCTACTCGGGAGGCTGAGGCAGGAGAATCGCTTGAACCCAGGAGGTGGAGGTTGCAGTGAGCCGAGATTGTGCAACTGCACTCCAGCATGGCGCCTGGCGACAGATTGAGACTCTGTCTCTAAATAAATAAATAAAAATAATAAACCGATTTCCATAGAGAAAATAGAAATTATCAAAAAAGACTAGTCGCCTATGCAAGAAAAGCACCAGCCTCAAACAGTTTCACAGAAAATCCTTCTAAACTTTTAAAAATTATACAATTCAAATGCTAGGAAAATTTCCAGATATAAAAAAAGGAGGAAACTTCCAAATTCAAACAAGAGTGAAACTCCAACTCAAAATAAAAGAAAAAATAAATAAAAATAAATCTGATCCCCAATGATGGAGGTGGGGGCCTAGTGGGAGGTGTTTTCATCATGGGGATAGATCCCTCATGAATGGGGACAACCTCAAGATATTAAGTGATTTCTCGCTCTTACTTCACTTAAGATGTGACTGTTTAAAAGAGCCTGGTACCTTCCTACTCTCTTGCTTCCCTCTCTTGCCATGTGAAGCCTGCTCTCCTTCCACCATGAATAGAAGCTTCTTGAAGCCCTCACCAGAAGCAGACACTGATGCCATGCTTCTTGTGTATCCTACAAAAAACCGTGGGCCAAATAACCCTCTTTATAAATTACCCTGCCTCAGGTAGCCCTTTACAGCAGCACGAAATGAACTAAGAGAGTTGCTAAAGAGTTTTAAATTTTCCAGGTAGAAGGAACTTTAATTTACTGATTTTTATTATTAATTTCTAGCTGTACTACAATGTGACATATCCTAATTCATTGCTTCTATGGAATCTGTCTTTTCTTGATGCCCAGTATTTAGTCAATTTTCTTCAATCTTTAAAAGGTGTATTCTTCTATCACAGCACACAGTAGCTACAGGAAGAATGATCTTACTGAGAATCGCTTAAGTGTTCTTTTTCCTTATTTGTGGGTGGGTCATTTGGCCAGCACACACATTTGCTGTTCCCCTACATTAAGGGTTCTCCTTTGATTTCAGTCACCACAGTGCTGAATTCATTATAGCTTTTCCTTGCAAAAACTGGTTAAATGTTACTGTTTCAATTATCATCACCTATAAACTGATGGCTCCCAATCCCCCCTATATCCTTACATCTGAGCTCCAATCCTTAATTACCAAATATTCAAAGGATAATCTCATTTTATTTCCTATCATGGATTCGATCTCATCTAAAATCTATTTCATCTTCTTCCCAACTCTGCCCTGGTTCCAAATCTTGCCTCAGTCTTATGATAGCTTATTATACCTATAAAAACCAAATTGGAAGGTTATGAAAGGCAGAAATACAGCATCTTTGTAACCTAATGAATGCAATTCCAGAACCCAATCCTGCCTTGGGAAAAAACAAGTATGAAATGCTGTAAATGGCTAAGCTTAAGCCATCCGCTTCAAGGTACAGGGTGGAGGAAGGGGGAAATACAGGGTGAGCACTGAGTCTTAGGGGCCCAAAGTGCAGAGTCAAAGTGATCCTGAAGCAATATATCCACTAACCAGTCACCCAAAGTAAATGCTAGCTCTACCCAAGACTCAGGAAAAACTCAGTATAATAAATCTGATCTTTTTATACTTTACTTTTTTCTTTTTTTTTTGAGACGGAGTTTCGCTCTTGTTACCCAGGCTGGAGTGCAATGGCGCTATCTCGGCTCACCACAACCTCCGCCTTCTGGGTTCAGGCAATTCTCCTGCCTCAGCCTCCCACCTAGCTGGGATCACAGGCACGCGCCACCATGCCCAGCTAATTTTTTGTATTTTTAGTAGAGACGGGGTTTCACCATGTTGACCAGGATGGTCTCGATCTCTCGACCTCGTGATCCACCTGCCTCAGCCTCCCAAAATGCTGGGATTACAGGCTTGAGCCACGGCGCCCAGCCTTATACTTTTCTCTAAAATAAAGATGGTATTATATAGAGCAACGCGTGAGAAATTAACTAGTCTTGTTACATACCACAACTTCTGACCATATGGAATATTACAGCTAAGAGTCTGACAGTCATAATGGATTTTTGTCACCCCAGGCAACTCCTAAAACCTATTCTCTGTACAACTTCATCAGCCCTTCAAACAGCCCTGAAGGCAAAGTAAAAAGTGTCGGCTGGGCGCGGTGGCTCACGCCTGTAATCCCAGCACTTTGGGAGGCCGAGGCGGGTGGATCATGAGGTCAAGAGATCGAGACCATCCTGGTCAACATCGTGAAACGCCGTCTCTACTAAAAATACAAAAAATTAGTTGGGCGTGGTGGCGCGTGCCTGTAATCCCAGCTAGGTGGGAGGCTGAGGCAGGAGAATTGCCTGAACCCAGGAGGCGGAGGTTGCGGTGAGCCGAGATGGCGCCATTGCACTCCAGCCTGGGTAACAAGAGCGAAACTCCGTCTCAAAAAAAAAAAAAAAAAAAAAAACAAAAAGTGTCAGACACTCAGTAAAGACATTTGTGAGGGCCTCTGCTTCCAGGGCTGCAGCATTTGAGAGAAGAGGTAAAGCATCTCTAAGAAGATTACAGAGAGGCTGCTGCCTGATCAGTTCGTACATAGCACTGGGATACTTGTTAACTATTACTGGGAAATGAGAACAAATAAAGAATGCCCCATTCACCAACCATATATGGAATTCACCCACGAAATTATGAGAAAGGCATCCAGGAGGCAGTACAGCCCTGGGCCATGACTGCAAATTCTGATGTCAGATTCCAAGTCCCTGCTCCAATGCTTACAATTGTGGGACCTTTAGCAAATTTTGTAACCCCCTCTGCCTCAGTTCTGTCACCTGCAAGATGGCAGTAATTTCTGTACCACTCAGTACTACTGTGAGAAGTACATGAGGCAATAAACACAAGAAAAGCATTTGGATTAGTGCCTGGCATGTAACAGCATGTGAGTGCTCACTAAGTGTTAGACATTACTTTCAGCAAAAACAATGTATTTTCACTCAGGATAGTAGTCTTCACATCTACTGAACATCAACAAGGGGAGAGGGATTAAAAGAGTTAGTCATGTGTTCAACAAAAACATTCAAATATACTTTTTGTGAGAAGAGGGTCCAGAAAATGGGTTCAGAACAGTCTGCCTGTAGTTTCTATGTGTGCAGGTTTTGCCTACCTCTCTCCTCACTGACCCCAAGATATAGGGAAAATGGCCACCCACAGCTGTAGCTCTGTGGCAAGGCTCTGCTACACCGAATAAAACAAAAGTAAAACAGAATGTGTGTGTGTGTGTGTGTGTGTGCGCGCGCGCACATATTTTTAGCAGGTGCAAATCATCCCCCGAAGCTGAAGAGATAAAGGACATGCTTTTCCCAAAGCGTACAACCTGAACACACAAAGCCTGTGATTTCTTACCCAGTAACATCATCTCACCAACACTGCTGTCATCTTCCTTCTCTGAGGTGAGTTGTTGAGTAGGATCCAGGCTCACACATTCTTCTTGGCAGTGAAATACATTCAAATCCTCAAAGACCACCAGCTCCTGAAAGAGCAAGAGGCCCCTTTCATCTTAGTGAGGTTCACTGACATCCCTACTGGTAAGAAGAGCTGACACACAAAGATCAAGGGAAGGAATGGCAAGAGGGACCTATAAATCCTTCACAGGTGCAACACAAACCGGAGTTTTGTTGAGCCAGGGTAAGGGCTCAAGGAAAACACTCAAGAAGGCCAAGTCCTAGTATTGTGTTTTTTACACAGGCTGTCCAAGCACAGAAGGTAATGCATTCAGGCAGTGAGTGGGAAAACCAAACCCACCTCAGGGTTAGCTTTCAAACACAGAGACACTGCCTCTTCTTTCTCTTGGATTCCTTTGGGCAGAAGATTCAACAATGGACGAGGATGCACTGGGGATAGAGGAAGGTGTAGTTAGTGAAAAAACTCAATGACTCTAACACAGAGATCCCCTATACCTTGAGGCCATGCTGTCCTCATTCCTTTGACAGGTAACTCATGGCCTTTTCTACTCCTATGAGCCCTTACAGAGTTCAAGCCATTAACTCCATGGTCTTAAACCTATGGCATCTCCCTACTGTGAAAAGAATAACTTTTCTAAGCACCTTGCAAAATCCCCCACGGAGTATTACTAAAGGAGAGCTTGGGGCGACGCAAAATGTGAAGATGCCCAGAAAAAGCACAAAATTTATAAAATTCCACATACACCAAACTCAATAATTCATCTGATTTATCCTAAAAAGACATTTCCCCCAGAATGTCTGGTTAAAACTGACACTACAGAAAGATGCACACTGTTTATTCTGTGGCTTTACCCACAACCAGCACTTGAGGTAGTTCCTCTTTCCAACACTAGAATTGACTCCTTTTCCAATATACACCATCCTAACTTCAATTCATTAGTAACACAGGAGCTTATCTCAGACCCCAGTAGTACCTCTTCCTTCTCTTCCAGTGAAACAAGCATAAGCTTCTCACCTCTGTTCTGAAGTCTTGAGCTCACATCTTTCATAATAACCAAGGTCTCCTTGACTTTCTGACTGGGCTGGACCAGGCCAGGCTTGGGCAAGAAGGTGAGGAAGTGCTCCAGCACTAGCTGGTGGATGGTCTTGGGCCCATTAGTGGCATCCCGACGTAGGTCTTGGCCTAGCTTGGAGTCTGGTGGAACTCTCAGGATAAATGACCGCTTTGGCTTTGGGGGCATAGGAACCACTTTTGCAGCCATCATGCCTTGCAAACACACACCGCACTCGTTTCTCGGGGCCTCCAGAGCTACCTCTCACTGGAAGAAACCTGCTAGAGAGCCAAGCTGTAGACAGAGAAAACAGGGATTACCCATAAGACCAGGGAGGACATGACTGCACTCCAATACCTGGCATGGGTAGTAAGGCTACAGGAGATCTAAAGAAAACAAGAGCTGGGGGACGGAAATCATAACTGAAATGCAGTATATGAACAGGATATGCTTAGAAAAACGTGAAAGGAAGATCCTGAGAATGAAAACCAGAGACTGTGCAAACCTCAAGGGCCAAAGGGAAGGGAGTAAAGGTGGCAGGGAAAAGGCCAAGGTCCAGCCTCCTGAGAAATACAAAGTGTGGCGTGGCACTGGTGGCTCACGCCTGTAATCCCAACACTTTGGAAGGCCCTGGCAGGTGGATCGCTTGAGCCCAGGAGGTCAAGACCAGCCCGCACAACATAGCAAGACCCTAACACACACACACGCACACACACACACGCACACACACACACACACACAGCCCAGGAGGTCAAGACCAGCCAGCACAACATAGCAAGGCCCTAACACACACACACACACACACACACACACACACACACAGCCCAGGAGGTCAAGACCAGCCTGCACAACATAGCAAGACCCTAACACACACACACACACACACAGCCCAGGAGGTCAAGACCAGCCCGCACAACATAGCAAGACCCTAACACACACACACACACACACACACACAGCCCAGGAGGTCAAGACCAGCCCAAACAACATAGCAAGACCCTAACACACACACACACACACACACACACACACAGCCCAGGAGGTCAAGACCAGCCCGCACAACATAGCAAGACCCTAACACACACACACACACACACACACACACACAGCCCAGGAGGTCAAGACCAGCCCACACAACATAGCAAGACCCTAACACACACACACACACACACAGCCCAGGAGGTCAAGACCAGCACGCACAACATAGCAAGGCCCTAACACACACACACACACACACATACACACTCTCTCTCTAACACACACACACTCTCTCTCTAACACACACACTCTCTAACACACACTCTAACACACACACTCTCTAACACACACACACACTCTAACACACACACTCTCTAACACACTCTCTCTCACACACACACACTCTAACACACACACTCTAACACACACAAACACAGACACACACTCTAACACACTCTCTAACACACACACTCTAACACACACACACTCTAACACACACACACTCTAACACACACTCTCTCTCACACACTCTCTAACACACACACACACTCTCTCACACACACACACTCTCTAACACACACACTCTAACACACACAAACACACACACTCTAACACACTCTCTAACACACACACTCTCTCTAACACACACACTCTAACACACACACACTCTAACACACACTCTCTCTCACACACTCTCTAACACACACACACACTCTCTCTCTAACACACACACACACACACACACACACTCTCTCTCCGTTTTGCGCGTGTCTAGATATAAAAACTAGCTGGGCAAGGCAAAGGAAGCCTGTTGTCCCAGCCGCTCGGAAGGTGGCTGAGCCCACGTCGAGGACGCAGTGAGCTGTGGTCGCGCCAGGGCACTCCAGACTGAGGGACGGGGCGGGGCAAGACCGTGACTCTAAAAAAAGAAGCGAGAAAGGAAAGGAGGAAGGAAGCCAGGGAAGGGAAGGAAAATCAAAGGAGAAAGACTAGACAGAAACGGCGCGATAAGCCCAGCAGGAAGAGGTTGGGTCGGGCTGGGCGAAGGAGCCGCGGGCAGGAAGACAGGAGATCTGGGGTCAGTGCCGAGGACGTCTGCCCAGGAGGGCGCTGGTCCCTGAAACCGGCCACACTGGACCCCTCGGACCGCAGCTCCCTCCCATGCCCTTTGTGAGGCGGAGGCGGCAGGTGACTCCCCCGGGGACGAGGGGTCCCCACACCGCCTGCCGACTCCTCTCCGGCGTCAAAGCTCTGCTGAGAGCGGCAGACGACATCCCACTAGGGCCCTCCGGGCCAGGCTCTGCAGCGGGGCCTCTCGGCCGGTCAGGGAACACCTTTACCGTTAAGCCCAGCGGGCGCCCCTGCCTGAGGCGCTCACCAGGCTCCCCTACCCGGCCTTGATCCCTCAGCAACGGACACGCTCCGCTCCCCAGAGGCGGCCTCAGCCTGGTTCCCGCCCTCAAAGAGCCCCTCACCTCTCGGGGCCTCTGCAGCCCCTGAGCGTTCGCTGAGGACGGCTCAGAGACTCAGGGTCCGGGAGAGACAGGAAAACTAGGCGCGAGCGGCCAAGCCCTCACCGCCCTTCCGAGCACCCTCCTAAAGCGCGGCGACCATTCGTGCACGCCGCCACCAGTGGAGGAGGACGCCAGGGACGCAGTGCCTTCTGGGAGGCCCGGCGCTCTGCAGCTGTGACGTCACAACCGGTGCTTTGTTTCCGGTGCAGAAGCCTGGTCTCCCCGTTCGGAGCGCGAAGTCTGCGCTTGAGAAGGCGAGGCTTGAGGCAAGCCAGGGGAGCTCTCAGGGCCAGAGGGAGGCCGGGACGGCTGCAGCCGGTCTCTCCGTGGCTCTGCCTCGAAGACGGAAGGCAGGAGCCTGGCTCCGGTCATCCATGACGGGCTGGCACCACTCCAGCTACGGCCACTCTAACCCCAGGGCCTACTGGGAAATGCAGTTCGAATGCAAACAACCAACGAACAACCTCAGGCGCCGCGGGAGGTTGGGGCGGGACAGGATCCCACCCCTCGAGGCTTCACCGGAAACGAGCTACCTCTCGGACCGGAAGATTTGCATCACCCCTCCACGGTTTCCGTCTTTTACTGCGGTTTTCCAGTAAAAAGAGACTGCGGAGACGGCGAGGGGGAGGCCGGCATACGACTCCGCCTCTGCTCTGGGGACTGCCATAGGTTACAGCTAGGGTAACCTACGTTTCACACTCCAACTTGCTAACTTCTACACCGGCCGTCTTGTTTTTAAAGAAATGCTAATCGACCGTCTCCTGTCTCTGTTTCCTTTCTCAATTTCAGCTTCCTACGGAGGCCGAACAGAGTTCTTTGTGCGTTGTTTTCATACTGGATTCATTCCCCAGTGAGGCATTGATTAGGGTTGGAACAACTTGTGGGCAGAGATGCCCTTATTTCTCGATGTAACACTAGGCTCCAGAAGGTTGACAAAAGTAAAAGTATAAATGAATGCTGCTTCTTAATTATAGCTGACTAATCGTTTAACGATGGCTTAAAATATGTTACAAAGAAACGAGTATGAAAACTGCGTGGCACCAAGACATTGTAGAAAAATAAGGAATGTCTTCCTTTTCAGATCAAAATTTACTAAAAAGCCGCCTCTAATCAAAGCAGTCTGGTTTGAACTATAAAGCAATACAGATAACTGAGATGTCTTGAAGTAAAATATAAACCTGTGTGATTGTATATTTTAAAACCTTTTTCTTGACTCTGTTAACAAAAGAGAAATAGACTGGAAGATAGTCGTAAAGATTAGCTACATAAAGGATTAGACATTCCCAACAGGAAATGAGCCCCTACCAACTGACCAAAAGCAAAGGCAATGAGGAGCTCTTCCCAAGAGAAGGAAAACTAATTGGTCATTAACATTTGAAAGGATACTTAACCACCCTACTAGTCAAGATTATCACTTTTAAAAGGAACAACAGTTTTCACCTGTCAAACAAAGACGGTAGGGAAATAGGCACTCCTTTGTCTGGTAGTGTGGTGTGTGAAGTCATCTTGTAATATTTATTGAAATTAAAAGTACACATATGTACCCTTTGACCGTCACAGTCTCATCTGTGAATGTGATATCTACAAATTTCTTGTAGAATTCTTTGTAGTGACAAAAACTAGAAATGACATGCATGTTCCTACATAGGGAAATGAATAAATTGGTGCATTCATACTCTGGAAATTACATAGCAATGAAAAACAATGGATTGGAGCTATATGTATACCTGGAGGGATGGCCATAAAATATTACATTAAAAAGTTTCAGAGCTACATGTATTATGCGTAATTATATTTTTGGAACAAACAAAACACCTTGTGTATGTTTGTGTTGAGGGATACACATTAGACTAGTACAATGGTTACTCGTGGGATGGCCAGGCGCAGTGGCTCCTTCCTGTAATCCCAGCACTTTGGGAGGCCTGAGGAGGGCCGATCACTGGAGGTTAGGAATTCCAGACCAGCCTGGTGAAACCCCATCTCTACTAAAAATACAAAAATTAGCCAGGTTTGGTGGCCGGCGACTGTAATCCCATCACCTTGGGAAGCTGAGGCATAAGAATTGCTTGAACTGAAAATAGAGAAAAGGGGAGATTACACTTGTTTTTTCATTTTGTCACTTCGTTTAATGAGCAAGTGTCAATCTGTTAACTAAAAATAATAAAACATTAAAATAGCTGGGCGTGGTGGCGCACGCCTGTAATCCCAGCACTTTGGGAGGCCAAGGTGGGCGGATTTCATGAAGTCAGGACATAGAGACCATTCTGACCTACATGGTGAAACCCTGTCTCTACCAAAATACAAAAAATTAGCCGGGCATAATGGCACACACCTGTAATCCCAGCTACTCCAGAGGCTGAAGCAGGAGAATTGCTTGAACCCGGGAGGCAGAGGTTGCAGTGAGCTGAGATTGCGCCATTACACTCCAGCCTGGGAGACAAAGCAAGACTTGGTCTCAAAAAAAAAAAAAAAAGTTTAAAAAAAAAAAAAACTTAAAATAAAAAATAGAACAATAGGCCAGGTGTGGTGGCTCATGCCTGTAATCCCAGCACTTTGGGAGGCTGAGGTGGGTGGATCACCTGAGGTCAGGAGTTCGAGACCAGCCTGACTAACATAGTGAAACCCCATCTCTACTAAAAAATACAAAATTAGCTGGGTGTAGTGGCATGAGCCTGTAGTTCCAACTACTTGGGAGGTTGAGGCAGGCTAATTGCTTGAACTCAGGAGGCAGAATTGCGGTGAGCCGAGATGGCAGCACTGCACACCAGCCTGGGTGACAGAGCGAGACTCCTTTGGGGCAGGGGAGAGGAAGGAACTATAAAGGTTCTTTTTTTTTTTTTTGAGATGGAGTGCAATGGCGCAATCTCGGCTCACCGCAACCTCCGCCTCCTGGGTTCAGGCAATTCTCCTGCCTCAGCCTCCTGAGTAGCTGGGATTACTGGCACGCGCCACCATGCCCAGCTAATTTTTTGTATTTTTAGTAGAGATGGGGTTTCACCATGTTGACCAGGATGGTCTCGATCTCTTGACCTCGTGATCCACCTGCCTCAGCCTCCCAAAGTGCTGGGATTACAGGAGTGAGTCACTGTGCCCAACCTATAAAGGTTCTTAAAACAATTTGATAGAATCCTGTTTTTATAATCTAATCTGTAAAATAATGATCATAAATGGATTTGAAGTGATATAAATTAAGGGTGTAAACAATATATATCTCTAGAAATGCTTTTTAACATGAAAAGGTGGTTGTCACATATAAAGAAATGAAATTTAAAATAATAATTACAGAAATAACCAGTATTCTGAAAGCTAATTAATACAATTATTTAACAGGGCAATATGGCACTTCCTATTTTAAGAAGTAAAATGTTCACAAACATTATAACATTCAATTCTCAACTTATTTTAAATAAAACCACACAGTTGGTATAGTTGGTTTGAAATGTTACAAAATTGGTTACAGCAGCCAACACTCTGGGAAGCCAAGTTGGGCGGATCACTTGAGGTCAGGAGTTCGAGACCAGCCTGGCCAACATGGTGAAACCCCATTTCTACTAACAATACAAAAATTAGCCAGATGTAGTGGCACTCGCCTGTAGTTCTAGCTACTCGGGAGGTTGAAGCAGGATAATTGCTTGAACTCAGGAGGCAGAATTGCAGTGAGCCGAGATCATAGCACTGCACTCCAGCCTGGAGAACAGAGCGAGACTCTGTCTCCAAAACAAACAAACAAACAAACAAAAAAATTGGCTAAATCATGATATGTTTATACAGTGGAAGCCAACAAAACCATTAAAAAGCGATGAATTAAGTGACAAGGCAAGTTATAAAACAGTATGCATATCTCAAGCAATTCCTAGATGACCACTTATTAAAAAAAAAAAAGCAATATGCATAAGTCGCTTTGAAAAGAAAATATTTGGCTCACTACAACCTCCGCCTTCCAGATTCGCAATTCTGCCTCAGCCTCCCAAGTAGCTGGGACTATAGGTATGCACCACCATGCCCAGCTAATTTTTGTATTTTTAGTAGAAACGGGGTTTCAACAGATTGGCCAGGCTGGTCTCAAACTCCTGACCTCATGATCCACCCGCCTTCGCCTCCCAAAATGCTGGGATTACAGGCGTGAGCCACTGTGCCCAGCCTAGGCTTTTTTTTTTTTTTTTTTTAACTAGAGGATTATGCAACAAGAGTTAACAGTTACTTTCCAGAAATGTTGGCCAGGAAAAAAAAGAGAGAGAGAGAGAGTTAATACTGGCCGTCTCTAAGGAGTAGGATTAGAGAGAATTTGTCACATTTCATGTTTTATAAATGCATATGTTTTCAAATAATGAGTGTTGCTTTTGTAGTTGAAAAAACACCAAATATTTGAAAGGTGAGATAATTTAGTATCTGATCATTTAGGAGTAAAACTAAGTGAAGAAAGAATTTACAACTTAAAATATCCTGAATACAAATAAAACTTATAATGAGATACCACTTCACACACACTAGAATAACTATAATAAAAAATATAATAAAGTGTTATTGGTGAAAATGTGGAGAAAATGAAACCCCCCTATATTGCCGGTGGGAATGTGCTATGGCCCAGCTACTTTGGAAAACAATTTGGCAGTTTCTCAACATAGTTACCATATGAACAAGCAGTTCAATTTCAAGGTATAAACTCAAAAGAAATGAAAATGTGTGTTCACAGGAAAACATGTTCGCAGTAGCCTAAAAGTGGAAACAACCCAATGTCCCCCAGCTGATGAGTGGATGAACAGAAAGTGATGTATACATGTGATCATACAGTGCACTATTGCTCAGTGAGGAAGCATAAGGCATCGACACATGCTACAGCATGAATGGACCGTGAAAACATACTAAGCTCAAGAAGTCAGTCAAAAAACCACATATTGTATGATTCCACTTCACATCATATGTCTGGAATAGGCAAAATCAGAGAGACAGAAAGTAGCTTAGTGGTTTACATGGGCTGGGGAACGAGGGAGAATCGGGAGCAACTGCTAATACATATGATAAAGTGTTCTGGAACTAGATAGTGCTGATATATACATCCAATGCCTATACTAAGAAACACTGAACTTTTCACTTTAAAAGGGTGAATTTTATAGTATGGATTTAGATCTCCATGAAAATAACCACTAGGCAGAAACATTTCATTTGACAGATTCAAAAAGATCTAAAACAGTTATGTTTTTGTTTTCCTTTTTTTTTTTTTTTGAGACACGCTCTCACTCTGTTCCCAAAGCTGGGGTACAGTAGCACAATCTTGGCTAAATGCAGCCTCTGACTCCAAGACTCAGGCGATTCTCCCATGTCAGCCTCATGAGTAGCTGGGACTACAGGTGCTTGCCACCATGCTTGGCTACTTTTCTATTTTTGGCTAGAGACAGGGTTTCACCATGTTGCCCAGACTGGTCTTGAACTTCTGGATGCAAGCGATCTGCATTTTCTTCTCACACCCACCTCTGTCTCCCAAAGTGTTGAGATTAGAGGGATGAGCCACTGCGCCCAGACTAAAACATATATGAAGACGTACAGCAAAAAATGAAGTTCAGTATCCAGATTCCAAACAGCAAGTATTCAAAGGAGCTGTACAATTTCCACAGAATGAAGCAAAAAGCAGAAATTCGCATGGAAAAATTCACAGCCTCATTAACAAGTAATCCAATAAAACAGAAGTAAGGCATCATTACATCCCTATTAAATCGGCAAAAACCTTTAAATGACAGTCATTGCTTTGGGCATGAAATATTTTTAAAATCTTTGCAAAGGATGGTATGGCAAACCACAGCAAGCATTATGAGATATTTCACGTTCAGGAACCATTTTAGGAATAACACAAGAGAA